AGCGGCATAAAATTTGGTAATGAAGATATTAATTATGATAGATGACTTTATGATACTTATGGTAGATCATTATTTTATAAATGTTCAAATCTCTATTAGAAGTTTTAAAACCAGAATCATTTTAATCATTACAACATTAGGTATCATTACCCCTATTTTACAGATGAATAAACTGAGCCTCTGGAAAGTAAAGTAGCGTTCTTCTTGTTATTAAGTGCTATTGAATCAGTTCTGAGGGCAGGTTTATGAGTTTGAACTGACAACCTTGCAGTTAAAAACAATCTTGCAGTGAAATGTTTATCCCACAGAGCCACATGTCCATGGCCAAATAGTTAAGAAGAATTTACTTTACAGTGTTTAATATATATACTGGGAATGCAGTGGCTCCATATGGTAAGCACTGGGCTGTGAACCACAAGGACTGTGGTTTGAGCTCACCAGCCACTCCTCGGGAGAAAGATGAGGTTTTCTACTCACGCAAAGATTCAGAGTCTTGGAAACCCTGTACAGGGTTGCTATGAGTCAGAACCAACTTGAGGGCACTTAACAACAACAACAATAGACATGTTCGTTCAACACCAAAGTTAGGCCTTATTGCTTCCTTTCCCCTGTGAGCCTCTATGTCTCATCCATTAAAGGTGAACATTTTTTAACAGTCGCTGATGTGGTACTGTAGGACATGCACTGGACTTCTAACCTCAGGCTTTTGTGGTTCAAACCCACCAGGCTCTCCTTGGAAACTCTATACAGGGTTGCTGTGACTCCGAATCAACCTTAATGATACTTAACAGCAACGAAAGATCTCTTCCAGTTTTAAGAGATTCTAGATATGAGGTGATATGTCTCTCAATAAAATGACAGTTTGTGTTGATTTTGCTTATTGACTAATATCCTTAGCATGAGATAGTACTATTACAAGTGCCAATAAACGGATGAGAAAGCCAACCGAGCTAAACTTGCCCAATATCACACAGAAAGCATTTGGGGAGCTTGCACCAAACCCAGGTATGCCTAACTCAGAAGCCCATAATTTTAACTTTAAGTTTACGCTGCTTCTGATTGCCATTTTCAGCTTATTTATTGATATATAGGTCATGCCATTTAGATCAGTGCCATTTATTTTTAAATACAGCAAATCAAAAGTCTGCTTGTTTTGTTTGTTAGCATGTACCCCTGTGCCACATATGTGATAACACATAATAAGTATCTCATGATGCATGCCTTACAGAGCAATTAAATGCCTTTAGGTCACTCTCGGTCACATGCCCATGAGTTACAAACTGTGGCCTCTATTTCTGTCCAAAGTGGATAGACTAACAAGCATCAAAAGAAAATAGACAGCCCACATCAACAGCAAGATTTGTAAACTCTGACCTAGAAAAGAAAAAATCTCCATGGATAAAACACAGTACCTAGAAGGAAAATTGATATAACAGAAATTCTGCCTCACTAAATGTGTGCCAGAGCCTGTTCTGTACTTATTAGAAGGGATTATTGACACTTTCTGGAGATACAATCTGAGACAACACGATAGGAAATTAACTTTGGTATTAGGAGGCACTGAAGTTAGATGTTGCAGTCTACACTGACAGTCTAATTATATTTTAACTGTGATTTATATTATACATTATTATTAATCTACTTGCATGTATGAGGCAAAGATTCACATACGTTTCCTTTCCATTTTTATTTTCAGCAAGAAACAGCTCCAAATTATGAGACATAATAATTGGGCAAATACTCAAGAAAGACTCATTTAGATTCTGCAACTATTTTGGGTGTGGGGTCTTTTAGAAACTGTAATTTTTTAAAATCAAATAAGCATTAATTCATTTTTATTTTAGCCAAGTACATGTTTTATAAAACAACACTAATAAGGTATGCTATTTCTCCCTAACCAAATTCTTCACAATGAAATCCAACTGCAATATTCATTTAGAAATTTGATAATGCTCTCTTGTGTGAGTTTTAGGAATATTTGAAACCCTGTTGCATATAAATTATATCATGGAAAAGCTGTATAAATATTCTATTATTGCACATGCTGTTCTAAGGATCTGTCAGGATTTCCTTTATACACTCCATCTTGAGTGGTATATAAATCAGACGTAAAAATTCATGTTGGACTGAAACAGTACAAAAAACCTCCTCCAGAGGCAAATGCTTTTCTCAAAATGTGGTTTGAATTATGTTGGTCATTTTTAAGTTATAGAAGTGCAGAAAATGTATTTGTGGTTCACAAGGAAAGAGATTTTTTCCATTTTTATAACTCATTAGAAAACTTTACAGGCCTTCAGACCATTTGTGGTTTCGTTCTACTCAGGTTTTTCCCCAAAGCGATATTATAACTTGAATGGTGTCCGCTATGAATCCAAGGATTACTGTTCTGAATACAAATGTGTGTGTGGATATATATAGTAATATATATCTTATGCTAGTAGAAATTCCAATAATATCATGACTGGGGTAGAAGATTCAGCCTATCAGTTGTCCATTCTCTGTTCTTGGTATCAAGTCCAGTATGTTCTATAAAAGGAATTCCCTGTCTTATACCATAGGTCATCATATTGCTTGTAATTTTAAAGCTGTGCCTTTAACTTGCAGAAAATTCCAACTAATTGCTACTCCTTTTAAGAGCAGTGAACCCTGGTGGCACAATTGTTAAAATGCTCAGTCTGTAACCCAAAGTTCGACAATTCTAATCCATCAGCTGCTCAAGGAAGAAAGATGTGACAGTCTCTGTAAGATTTACAGCCTTGGAAACCTTATGGGGCAGTTTTATGCTGTTCTTTCATGGAGTCCTGTTGTAGTGCTGTAGGATAAGCACTAGACCAAAGACTAGTTGGAGCCACAAGGTCAGCGCTTCAAATCTATGAGTAGCTCTTCAGAAACCCTATACAGAGTCACCATAAGTTGGAACCGACTCTACTACACTCAACAACATAGAATATAAATTGGAATCAACTTCCTGACTGGAAGGGACCTTTTATGCATTTTTTGACAACATGGTTTTCTTTCCTAAATTCTGATCTTTTATAACACAGAGAGCAAATTGCAACATGGTTCATGGATATTCACTGATGATTATCTCCTTTGAAAAGTATTTAATAAGTGTGTATTTCTGTGCATAAACTAGTTTCATCAAATAATGATGAATTTACTTTGTCTCTATAGCTAATATGTAGTTAAATTTTTCATAAAGATGCACATTATTATTTTAATGTACATAGAAATTTTGACTATATTATCTTTCTTAAAGTCATCAATTAAAGTTTGAGGAAGTTTGATATGGATTAAGAAATTTGGCATAATTCACCAAGTCACTTGATTGAATTGCTTCTATCTATATCAATATGCTGTTGAGTCAGTTCTGACTCATATTGACCCTGTACAGGGTTTTCAAGGAGCAGCTGGTAGGTTTGAACTGCTGACCTTGTGGTTCACAGTCCAATACTGACCCTACCATGCTACACCAGGAGTCCACAATATAATATAAATAGAAGCAATTCTTCGTGGGAGCAGAAAGCCTCATCTTTCTCCCATGCCATACAATAGATCAGGGCATTAAAGCATAAACAGGATTAAATTTTCCCAGTGTCATGTGATATGTTTTACTGAATTCTACAGAGAATCTGGGTGTCTTGATTCCCTTTTCACCATATGCCACTCTTTCTGGTCTAGTCTAGTATATTTGGTAGCATAGTGGTTACGAATTGGGCTGCAAACCTCACGGTCAGCAGTTCGAAACTAACAGCTGTTCCGCGGGAGAAAGATGAGGCTTTCTGCTCCCATAAAGATTTACAGCCTTGGAAACCCTATACAGGGTCGCTATGAGTCAGAACTGACTCCATGACACATCACAACAACAACAACAAAGGACAGATAGGATGGAGCAACCAGATAATGGTCAAATATTTGTCTGTAGCTAGTGGAACACTACAGAATTTCCTACTGGCTTTATCACCTCCAGGATGGTTTATGTACTAATCTAATGTCATGGACGAGTCCTGGTGTGGCGCTGTGGGTTAATGCGCTGGACTGCGAAGTTGGTTTGATCTGCTGATCAGCAAGGTTGGCAGTTCAAGCTCACCCTCTGCTCCTGAGAAACCTATACAGGGATCCTATGGGTCAGAACTGACTGGCAGGCTCTTAACTACAGCAACAATGTCATGGAAATTAGCCTACTTAAGAAAACAAGAGAGCTCAGCTCCAGGTTTCTTTATTTTTCTTATTAACAGGAGGCAAGGTTACTTAACATCTCAAGTCCCTAGTCCACATAAAGGAATATCTTTATTTCTATTTTGGGTCATTTTTCAAAACAATAACAACAAAGACTGCTACATCTATTTTCACTAAATTGCAGCAGTTTGTTTACAATAATGTTCAATTTGTTATAAATTATAAACTTTGCTGTGGATTTCATATATGGCATACAAAAGACATAGGTACTTCTATTAGTTTATCATTAAAGTTATAGCTCTTAAGATTTCACTTAACATGTATCACTCAACACATCCCTAAGTGACTCAGTCATTCATTAAGAAGTTTATTGCAGCTTCAGGGGGAGGTCAAGAAATTTTTGAGCATTTGGTACCTTTTGAGACATAATCAGAAATGTTTCAAAGCAGAACACAGACACTTCAGAGTCACTGAAAATGAACAAATTCAAATGACTAAAAGTTATTTTTACATGCAAAGAATCTACATTTTTCATGATTTGAACTGAAGCCCTTTACAATTCGTTAGACAAATAATACACACAGTGCATCCCCTTCCATCTCTCACATGAAGCCCATATTGTTCTCCCATTTGCAGAATGTGTAACAGTGCTTGCAGTTATTTGCATAGCATTGACCTTGTTCAAACCTAGTATCACTGTTTCTTATGTAACAGATTTTTTTCAAAAAACCAGAATGACTAATTCTTAAAACCTGTAAAATAAAGAATGACAGAAAGAACTAATATTACGAATATGAAAAAACAGTAAGATATATCCTCACCTTGGTTTTACCTTTAAGCAGCCTTTTATTTGTTTACTAGGTACTTCTTCCTGTGGTTTTACAGGTTCCGGTTCTTGTTCCTTCTTTTGACAAACCAATGCATAATTCACGCCATTATTATTTGACCAAAATGTACCAATAGAAGTTTCATAACGTATGCAAAACTCAACTCTACTGCCATCTTTTTGATAAGGAGGAACCAACGTAATCTTAAAGGAGAACTGGTCAGTTTCACCATCACATGAATTAGGGACATATTCTGCTAAGATGTCATAGTATGACTGCCAGTCATCTAAGGACATTCTTACATATACTAGCTTCTCAAAAGAAACATTCAACACTCGAATAATCCCCTTCATACTTGTAGACTTAGGTGGATATTCAGTTGATTCCAGTACTGCTTTCTGTACTTGAAGTCGTTGCATAAGATCGTCTTTAGAAGAAGGCAAGTCAAATAGTGGACACAAAACATAATCTTCTGTGTGGAAAATGGCCTTCTTTAAGTCAAAATTGGTTGAAGCACTCGGTAAATCCCAACAATCAAATTCTTTAACAGACACAAGATTTAATCCAAATGTATCAGCAAACGAAACTCTTCTCATACCTGAAGAAGGGGTGTCCAGGTACATGTCTTCAGAAGAATCTGAACCTCGTCTACTTGGTTGAGGAGAAAAACCAGGTTTTAAAGGTGCTTTAGCTTCTTCATCTTCAGAAAGAGACTCAGATAGAGTAGGAACTGCTAAAAAGTTATCTTTGTTAATCTGACTAGGTTTCTCAGAAGGCTCCATTGGGCTCTCTGATATTAAAGAAGCGAGAACTGTACAACTAGTGAGGCTGATATTTGAGATACTGTGGTTTAAAATAAGTATAATGTTACAGTTGACATTGCAAAAAGGAGTCAGCTCTATAAATAGGTCTGATGGCGTGTAAACTATGCCAGCCTGCCTCCAAAGCCCTTTAATATGATAGCATCCATGTTACTCTCGCCAGTGTGTTTCAGATTTAACCCCCAGTAATTAAAGCTCCATTTGCTTATGAGTTACATTTCAATGAGACATTTTAAAGTCATGTTTGGAATATCTAAATTGCTGAACTTTAGAATTAAAAAGATATTATTTCACCAGTTGATGTTAAATATCAAACTTGGAATGTTTTTTATAAAAGTTAGAATCACAATAGTTAAAATATAGTTTAAACTAAATTAACTAATTAGAGCAGGCAAGGGAAGAAGGGGTGGGGTGGGTAGAGATAAGAACATTTATAAAGGTTTAAATAACCTGGTAGCGTAGTAGTTACAAATCCAGCTGCTAATCTCCTGGTCAGCAGTTCGAAACTACCAGTTGTTCGGAGGGAGAAAGATGAGGCTTTCTGCTCCCGCAAAGGTTTACAGAGTTGGAAACTCTGTACAGGGTCACTATGAGTCGGAACCGACTCCACTAAGAACAACAGCAGCCCTGATGTGGCACTATGTGTTAATGTGCTGGGCTGCAAGGTCGGTTTGAACTGCAAAATTGGTGGTTCAAGCTCACCAGCTGCTCCTTGGAAACCCTATATAGGGTCATTATGGGTCAGAACTGACTTGACAGCATTTAACAACAACAAAGATAGCTACCATTTATCAAGGACTTGCAATGTAAATGTATACTATAAAAGACTATGTAAGTTCTGGGCTTTCACAAGGAGGAATTAGATGAGGAAGGAATCATGGGAAAGTTAAATGGTAAGCAGAGTGGGAACATGCAGGGTTGTGTTGGAGTTTCCAGGTAGAAGAAATAGTCTGAACCAAAGCAGGAACAAGAATTAGTCACATCTTTTATTGTAAACATAGTTTTGCTTTGAGGTTCACTTATGATGCAGTGATTAAAGCACTTGTCTTCTAACCAGCAAGTCTGTGGGAGAAAAATCGCAATCTGCTTCTGGAAAGATTTCCAACCTTGAAAACCCTGTGTGGTGGTTGTGGTCTGCTCTATCTTATATGGTTGGTATGAGTTGGAATCAATTCAACAGCAGTGGGTTTATTTCATTTTTTTGAGGTTTCTTTTCATTAAACCATGGGAAAAAACCACTTATCTAATGTGCTATTGGAGTCCTGCTATGGTTCTGTGGGATAGGCATTGGGCTGCTAACCACAAGACTCTGAGGTTCAAACGCACCATCAGCTCCTTGGAAACCCTATATAGGGTCACTTTGAGTCAGAACCAACTTGATGGCACTCAAAAACAATGTGCTATTGACTTGAAAACATCTGTAGACAAAGGGGAACCTGGCCCATATTTATATAGAACACACTGTTCATCTTCAGAAAAATTACTGTTTTATACTCTCAAAGCAGAAGTTGAAATCTTAGCATTAGGAGTTTGCTGTGAATTTTACAGTATGAGTAGCCTGTTTGTTGTTAAGTGCTGTGGAATCATATCTGACTCAAAGCAACACTGCATAAGGTTTCCAAGGAGCAGTTGGAGGTTTGAACCCCCAACTTTGTGACTAGCAGTCTACTACTTCTCCTACAGAGCCACACCAGGACTCCAGGTACCCTGTTTAGACTAGACTCTGATATAGATTTTGGGGATGGCAATTTGAGAACAGCCTATTAAAAATTAAATGCATGCATTTAATTTCAATTTTAATTTCCCTATCAGATTTGGATAAGTATTCAAAGATACATTTAGAAATTTGTTTTTAATAAAATAGTTTATTTTTAATCTCTGGTTAAAAAATGATTTACAAGTTTCCATCAGCAGGGGACTGGGTGAATAATGTTACACCCATATAATAGAATGTTTCATAGTCCCTAAAAAGCGTGAAGTAGTACAATGAATGCTGATATGGAAAGTACCCAAGATAAAAGGTTAAATAAAGATTGCAGTATGCAAAGGTATGTGCACAGAAATCTGGGAGGATACAAAAGAAACTGTTTTCAGTGACTAGCTCTAACCAAATCAGGTGAGAGTTGTGTGAGAGAGTGGCCAGGAAGCACTTTCCATTCACTTTACTCTCTTCTGTAGTCTGAAACATTGGCCTTGAGCACAATTTTCTTTCAGAGTATCTTTGTTGTTGTTAAGTACTGTGTAGCCAGTTCCAACTCACAGTGAACTATATAAGGTTTTCAAGGAGCGAATGGTAGGTCTGAACCACTGATCTTGCAGTTCATTCTACTGTGCTATACCAGGATGCTTAAGTAAATAAAATGAAATTTAAAAATATAAAAAGTGTGAGAGGCAAGTACTTTAAAGAGAGAAAAAGCCCAATAGCCTAGTTTCTTTCAAATGAGAATTTTATGTAAATATACTATAACTTATTGCATGATTTGAATTGCATAAAGTAGTGAATTGAAAGATTCTTTTTCAAAATTGCAAATGAATAGTATCTAGGAGGATGTTGTTGTTGTTATATGCTGTTGAGTTGGGTCTGACTCATCGTGACCCTATATAGGGTTCCTGAGGAAAGCTGGTAAGGTTGAACCACCAACCTTGTGGTCCAGTACTTATCCTACAGCACCACACCAGGACTCCGTCTTGGAGGATAAGCAAATGAAATTCTAAAGGTATTACGTCATCCACATAGCTAGAACTTGAATTGTTCAAGAATGGGAAATGATTGTGAGAATGACTATCCCTTGCAAACTTAATAACCAGAAGTTACCATATTCCAAGGTACTTGAAGCATGTGTTTATTTACTCAAGAACATAAGTAACAAAATACTATTGTTGTTGTTGTTGTTGCTAAGTGCCGTGGAGTCGGTTCCGACTCATAGCGACCCTGTACAGGGTTTCCGAGGCTGTAAATCTTTACGGGAGCAGAAAGCCTCATCTTTCTCCCGTGGAGCAGCTGATAGTTTCGAACTGCTGACCTTGCGGTTCGCAGCCTAATTCATAACCACTACGCTACCACAAAATACTATTAGAACTAGTAAAATGATACATACAGTTATGTAAATGACAGAATAATGAAAATATAAAGATGTAATAACTTACTAAAATAATTTAACAGCAAATAGCTACAAGCGGAGGGTTGTAGGTTCATATCCTGACTGTGTGACTTTCGGGATATTGCTCAAATTTTATAACCCTCATTATAACTGCTATATAAGTAATGTTGATAATCAATTGATACACCTGCTAAATACCATACAAACCAATGAGAATGAAAGTAATCATTATTTTTTGCTCCTAAATTATGAATGGCTGACTTCTAAAAGTAATGGGTAAGTAGGTAAATAGGTAGGTGGTAGAAAGGTAGATAGATAGATAGATAGATAGATAGATAGATAGATAGATAGATAACATATATATAATATTACAATATGATTTATAATTTAATTATTGTTGTCTTTTTAAAAGACATAAAGAGTTCAACATTATCAATGTTCTTACTATCTGGCCTAAAGTTTTCTCTTTTTAATTTGTCTCTTTAAACAGAGCACTACTTCCTTGTTTCCTAGTATTCACCGCCTTTCATTGGGAGTTTATAACCTTCACAAAATCATGGACAGATGACATGTTCCCCCTTATCACCAGTTAGCTAAAGCAAAGTGATTTCATCTTTTCAATCTCTTCTCACATGTCAGTCCTTTAGCACTTTTGATGAATTTTTTACTCCTCAATGAACTCTTCCCATTTTGCCTATATTTGCTATTAATGAGGTGCTCAGAGATGAATGCAATATTGCAAATCAAGACTTCTAGGGCACTTAAATAAGTACGTTAAGTGCCCTAAAACATGTTTTACCATGTTTGGTAATGTGGAAGATCAGAGAAAAAGAGGAAAACTCCCAGCAAGATGGATTGGCAAAGTGGCAGCATCAATGGGCTCAAGCATGGCAACAATTGTGAGGCTGGCCCAGGACCAGACAGTATTTCATTTTGTTGTGCATAAGGTCTCTATGAGTCAGTACCAACTGGATGGCACCTAACAACAACAACAACAACAACAACAACAACAACAAAGAAGGACTATCAGTCTCAGCCTTGTGACTTGGTATTTGTATTCATTTGAAATTCACATTGTCTCATTTCTTTTCCATATCATAAATCAGATCACCATCGCATTTTTCTTATACCCAGTATTATTTTAATGTTCAAATCCTAGTGTTGTGCTGTAGGATCAGTACTGGACTGCTAACCCACCAGCTGCTCCTCAGAAACCCTATACGGGGTTTCTATGACTGGGAACCAGTACTTAACAACAACATTTCGATGTTAACACCACTTAAACCCTATCACTCTCTTCTCATTCTCGGCAACTTAAACTATTTTAGTAACAGCAGAGCTGTTACCAAACTAAATGCTCAAGGCATTTCCACACATTCTACTTCCGTTGTATTAATCAGTGATTCTCAAAAGACTTCTTTTACTTAATAAACTGTATCTCTCAGGGATAGTAAATAGTACACACGACTCAAAATAAAGTAATAGCAGGAGGGTTGGGGGAGTCCTGGTGTGGCACTATATGATAAGCACTGGACCAAAATGTCAGATTGAGCTGCAAAGTTGGCAGTTCAAATCCACCAGCTGCTCCCTGGACACCCTAAACAGGGTTGTTAGGTGTCAGCACTGACTCAACAGTACTTAATAACAATAACAACAACTATAAGGAGGGTTTGGAGCTTTGGTGGTGAAGTAGTTAAGTCTTCAAACGACATTTGAAAGGTCAGCAGTTCAAATTCACCAGTCACACTTCAGGAGAAAGATGTGGCAGTCTTCTTCTATAAAGATTACAATCTTGGAAACCCTATGAGGCAGTTCTACTATCAGGTTGAACCACAAGGTCTGTGATTCAAGCTCACCAGC